GAATTGGAATGAAATGCCACCAACTCCTTCACCCTGCAAAAGCGACACAAGACACCTCCCCACCTCCTCTCCTCCTCTGCCCCCTCCCCCCCCTCCTTTGTCTATCTAACCCCCCCTCCCTCACTGCCTTCCTTTCCCTCCCTGGCTTTTACTTCTGCACTCTGGGCAGGCCTTCACTGCCTCATGTGTGCATGTGATACGGTAATGTTATGAGCAACCCTTTATCTCTGGAATAGAAAATAAAGACCCCCCCCCCTAGGCTGGACCTAAAGCGTGTGAAATTCACCGTGAAACCAAGGAACACTTTGTGCTGAGTGATTATGTAGCTCATCTCGTTGTTTTTTTCATCCTGTTATGCCTTAGCAAGCTGTAGATCACAAGGTAATAATGTTGGATCACCCCTCCCCCTTGTCTTTATCAAAAACAAACCTTCCACCCATCCTTTTTCCGAGCGCTTTATCCAGTACAGGGTTGCAGGGTAGGCGGGGGAGCCAGAGCATGTCCCAGCAAGCAACAGGCGCAAGGTGGGACACACCCTGGACAGGACGCCAGTCCATCACAGGGCAGACACAAACACAGACATGCACTGACAGCAGGGCCAGCTTTCCCAGAATCCAATTAACCGGTCTTTTGGACAGGGGGAGGAAACCCAAAGGAAACCTACACAAATAAGGAGTGGAGCCTTAAACCTGGTCAGCAGCTGTATCACCCTGCAGCTCCCAGCTGGCAGCCCCACTGGAGCTCAGCAGGTGTGAGGCTGGTCGGTACCTGGATGGGAGACTCCTGGGGAAAACTAAGGTTGCTGCTGGAAGTGGTGTTAGTGGGGCCAGCAGGGGGCACTCACCCTGCGGTCCATGTGGGTCCTAATGCCCCCGTATAGTGACAGCGACACTATACTGGGAAAAGGTGCCGTCTTTCAGATGAGAAGTAAAATCGAGGTCCTGACTCTCTGCAGTCATTAAAAATCCCAGGGCGTTTCACAAAAAGAGTAGGGGTGTTACCCCAGCATCCTGGCCAAATTTCCCATTGGCCTTTACCCATCATGGCCCCCTAATAATCCCCATCTCTGAACTGGCTTCATCACTCTGCTCTCCTCCACACTGAGAGCTGGTGTGTGGGGAGCGGACTGATGGTGGTGGAGGGGATCCCCATTACCTGTAAAGCGCTTTGAGTGTAGTATCCAGGAAAGCGCCCTATAAGTGTAAGCAATTATTATTGTAATTATTAAAGCTCCCCAGACAGTGCCCCCAGAATTGAACTGCAGGGCTCTGGCTTTGTGAGGCAGCAACGCCTAACATCTCCACCACCGTGGTCCGCCCCCAAAACAAACCAATCAAAAACAAATTCCCATTCGCAACAACAACCTGGATCCCCAGGAATTTAAACTCACAACACTTGAGTGGGGGCTGCGGGGAATTGCGACTTGATCACTGGGGTAATAGTGTAAATGTCAGGGCATGGTGTATATACTGACCAGACTGGACTGGTCCAAGTCCCAGCTGGGGCACTGCAGCCTCACCCTCAAGCAAAGTGCTTCGCTTGCATTTCTCCACAGTGACCTGTAGAGTAAAGCAGCAGTCACCAAGTAGTCATGGGGAAATGAGAATGTGTTCTCACTTGACTTACCCAATAAAATAAATAATTCAATGCAAATATTCAGTGGAATCCATTAGTCTGAGATCATATATGCAAAGGCGCTGAGCATGAATAGATTTAGGCCTTGTGTCTGCAATTGCTTAAAACACTTTTGACAGTGACCACATGTGTCTCCACACAGCCCTGAGAGCTTCCTGATGTATAGTCTGAACTGACACCCTGCAGCGCCAGACACTCCAGGGAGTAATTCCATTTGCTGTTGTGGACTTAGTTTTCCTTAAGCATCGGTGGGACAAATCTTAACAGTCCCACAGGTGGGCTGAAATCATGATACCCCAAATTACAAACCCGCCGCTGCCCTAGGGGAGCAGCAGGGCAGAGCAGGGCTGGGGAGACGGGCAGTTAGGGAAACAAATTGAAGAAGACTTCACTAAAAAGTAGCATTGAAAATAGGTATAACTTATAACTGGGGAAGTCAAAGATAGAAAGAATAAGTTTCTTGGCCTTTAAAAGTAATTCTTTTCTATTAAAAATGCATTGATCTCTGCAGATTCTTAAAAAAAATATTTCACCATTTGGAACGCAGACTTATCTCTGTAAATAAGTATTGCACCTCATCGCATTCCACAGTTAGCCCTGATGGGTTTATAAAATTACCTTTCAGAGCTCAATAACTGTTTTCCCTCCATCTAGGAGTTCTCAAACACGAGGAACCTGCACTTTGCATGAGGCTTGGGAACCTGCTTTTTGTCAGTGCTCGACGGCAGGAAGAGAAGAGACTGCCTGAGCTGGCCTCTTCCGTAGTTCCTGTCAGGATCATTACAGCTATCCAGGAAGTTCTTCTCTGCTGCTCTTCTTAACTGCTTAGACACAAGCCACAGCCCCGAGGGCACCCCAGCTGTCTGCAACACCAACCTCCTCCCAGAGACCGAGTGCATGCAACACAGTACTGAGCACAAAACGGAGCAGACACTGAACGCCTGCCTTGTGCATGACTCAAGTCCTTTAAGTAGGCGGGGGGTGGTTCTAACAAGGCAGTGTGGGCAGTGTTTCTGGACTCTGAGCCTTTAAATCAATGCTTAATGGTTTACCACATCTTCCTCATGGTTAATCGATGATGGCCAATGGCGTTTAGAAAGATATGCCCCGGGAAATCTCCAGGGGTCACATCAGTGTTCCTCAGAGCCATAAAGATTTCACAACAGACGGTTTCAAGATACACAGCAAAGCCTTTCCCCATCTCCTTCTGTCAGCAGCGGCTTCCATGCCTGTTACGATATTCATTCACTACGGCGTTTGTGCTGATCCCGAAGGAACGTTGCTGGAAGACTTTCCTGAAAGACTGTCTGCTCACTGGCGGATTCACTGAGTGATGAGCCGCTTCCTAAAGCATAATGTGCCCAATAAACGACATCGAGAGTGGGACGGCTAGCTTATGGGAGGCATAATTCACGTTCCCTAAAGAGGTGGATTTGTAGTGTCACATATTCTATGTCTGCAGCTCCCTGATATACAGCTATATTAATGTAAGCGATTTTATTTGAAAAAAAAAAAACTACACAGATTAAAGTAACATATTTTTGGTTTCCGGTGCATAATTCAAGAGGCTGCAGCCAAATCACAGACAGCCAGACTGTTGCGCAAACCTCGCCAGTCGTTTGTAAAGCGCTGTCTCTAGCGTTTAAATGAAGAGAGCGCGGCGCAATTTACTTCAAAAGGTGTGCGCAGACTGCGAGTATCTCTAGCGAGCCAGATGTCAAACATCGTGACTCCTGCCTTGTTTAATTTATCCCAGGCTCTTCGTGTGCGCTGGGGGAAAGCCACGCTTGCCTTAGGAGCGCGTATTGTAACCGGGCAGGTTTCTGTGTATAGACTGTGAGGGGTGGGCGGGTGAGCGGGTAGGATTGTCTAGGGATTTCAGGACTTTTGATCTGTTTGCTCTCCCCTCACGGTCGTGGACTGGAGTAATTGTGCTGGCGTGCGGCGGGGGGCGCTTTCATTTCCACGCAGTGCAGCTTCTGCGTCCACTGGTCCCGCCAGTAACCCCTGCCCCGCGCAGAAAGTGCTGCTTAGCAGGGAATGTGAACATAGTCGGACCAACGGGGGGGGCACTCAAAACTGAAATCGCTTTTTTAAAAAACGTTCTTCTCAGCGCGCAGTCGAGGTTGTTTTTGAGGGGGGAAAAAAAAGAAACGTCTGATTTTTTTTTCTCATCTTGCGTTGTAACCCATTCGTTTGCAAACGCCTGGCGTGGGTCAGAAATAAAAAAAAAATCGTTCCGATTGCTCCACGTGAAGTTCAGAGCGGGAAGACCTGAGAGAGAACTGGAATGTCGCAGCACAGTGTTTGGCTGTGGGCATTTTGTCATCAAAATAATGCCAATAATGTCAACCTGTCTGTCGCATAGCACGGTACAGGACCAGGTACACAAGACATCACACTCAAGGGTTTAAGATCTTTCTCTGCTAGACGTACACGCCAACACCATGCAGAGCCGACGCTCTGTTGGGAAACAATAAATGAAACCCGCTGGTTTATCACACCCGCCAAGGTCTGGAAGTTGTGGGAAGTTGCAAAGGTGGTTTCTATTCGAAACACGCACAGCAGCTTCTAACAAAGAGACCTGTGAAAAGAACGAACGTGCCCCCAGGACTGCAGAAAGAGGAGAGGGGACAGCGTTTGCACGCAGGACACTGCGGGAAATTAGAAGGGCACACACGCTTAAGGCAGGGAGGGCGGCTCCGCAGGGCACACCCTAAGCAGGACCCCGGCTCGGCCTCTGTCTGGGGGTCTTGCATGTTGGCTAAGACGCCGTCCTCTCCTGGGGGACGAATACGGCTCCTCACAGCGCCGGCCTCCCAGACGCCACAGGTAAGAGGAGCCCACCCCCTCCTCTAATAATGACCCCCCTGCTCGACTGACAGCCTCACAATTCAATTCAGTTGTCAATTCAAGGTGCTTTATTCGCATGACGGAGGGGTACAATCGGTGCTGCCTCACTCTCACCCGGAGCCACCCGTGAAAGTGGCGGGGTGACTTCTGGATAATCGATCCCTATCATCACAGATTCCGCTCCCTCCTGTTGATCTCTCCGAGCGCTCAAGACCTACTAGGCGGACTTCGGGTTGGTTTTCGGGTCTGCTGGTGTGGTGTACAGACAGAGCAGGGGAAAGGTTGAGACGCCGCGTAAAAGTACTTTATCACCCCCCCAAATCTAGTTTTCATTATACTGTACGTGTGCGTGCCTGCCTGTACTAAGCATCCTCTCTTTCAGTATCTAATAAAAAAACGATACAGTTCTAGATCCGTTTCTTCCCCTGCACAGCACTTGTGAATCCCATTGGCTCCCCAGCGATCGCCCGGGGGGACAGAAGAGATACAAACTACTATAAAACTCAAGAGTGTCCCCTCAGCGTGCCAGAGGGAGAGAGAGCGCGAGGCGGAGAGGAGGACAGGCACGGGCTGGAGCAGCAAGAGGCTCGAGGACGAGGTTCCCTTTGCGCGAGGAAATCCGTCTTTTTTCCGAAGTTTAGTTACTTTTCGTGCGGGCAGGAGTAGCTGTAGTTTTTGCCGCTTGATAAGAGCTGGGAAAAAAAAACGTCGGGGGTCCGAATGGAATAAAACTGTTACCTGCTCCAGGACAAACCACGCGACAAGAGGAGATTGGTCCTTAAATTTTTTCCTTTTCTTTTTAAAGAGTGTCCGGAAAAGGGTAAGCGTGTCAGTTTATAAACGTTTAAATACAATTTTGTGTCTATTTTTAAATAACCCTGAAAGAATATTAACATCTTAAGCCGTGAACTGTAATTTGTGAATCCACGGTATTTTCGAAAATCGAAACATGTTCGTTTGTTCAATCCTAGAAGTGTTTTTTTTTATATACTTCAGCTGTTGGTTTGCTTACATTCTCTAACTTGGTGTAGTTACTGACAGCTCGGTGTAGTTACTGACAGCTGTCTGATCCGCATGAAGGGTGAAAAACGACTTCTACAAGAAGAGCAAAACTAACCAGGCAGAAGGCTGGGGATATTTCCTCACAGATACGTCAGGAAACACTAAAGGGGATTGTTTGGAAAAAGATAAATTATTATATTAAGCGGAGGACCTTAATCGGAACAATTCACAGCAAGTTTGCGCTACCTTGAGATCTATCATACAGGAAAAAAAAAAAACAGATTAAAAAAATTACTGAGGCAAGCACACACCAGGGAAATTAAAACAGTAAGAACTGTGCGACTGCTTCCGTGCACACAATTCCTGACAACCAAAGCACTGAAAGTAGTAAGTGAAAAGACGCGTCTTCACGAAAGTTGCGAGTCTCTGCGTCAGCAAAAACTGTGATGCAGAGTTAAAGGTGGGAGGAAAATCGATTAGGTGAAATGCCATGATTCTAAAAGCAAATGACTTCCAGAGTGCATATAGTCCCACTTCGGGGTTGTGAAATATCACTAGTACGACACAGTTTATTGACCTTGTCTGTTCACACAGCTTTGATCTCACGGTTTCGTAACTACGGCTGGTTGCGAGAGGGATTTCGGGGAAAAAGGGACAACATCTATAACGGAAAACTCACAGCCCCTTCGTCCACAACGTAAACACAAACATTTCTCGTTGCATCGGACAAAAGGCCGCCTTTTTAGTTCTTTAGCTCAGCTAGCGCTGTCATAACGTGAAAGAACTTAAACTCTTTAAAAGAGTTACTGAAAATTCACTCAGAGACGGTACAGATGTTAAAGAAAATAGTGGGGAAAAAAAAACACGGGCAGACGCTTTGAGGTGGAATAAACTAAGAATTAAATTAGGGAAGGTGAACCGTATGGTTTATAGCAAATAACCGTTCCTTACCCAGGCAGCGTGCGTCATCTTCCAGCTGTTTCTAACTTCGCTTCACAACTGTACAAGGACGCACTGCGCTTGTTTACAAGTCCTGCATAAAACGTAAACTTCAGCCGCCCTCACACTAGCACCGCAGTTTTAATCATCATAGACCAGGACCGGCACTAATTAAGGACACCAGATAGGAGACCTCCAGAGTATCCTCTGGCTGAAACAGCCTATTTCTATCTCTAGATAAAACCCTAATGTCCCAGGACCGAACTTATCCTAAATTAAAAACATTTCCATTCTCTCCCCGCCCGTCCATATATTCTTAAGCTTTTTTCAGCAGCGTTGCTCGAGCGCAAAATTTGCACCCGTTTTCTCTAAAAAATGTTTGACGAAAACATTGGATCAACATTGGAAAACATTGGTTTTCCACATCTTGGCTACCGGCTCTCTCGGATGTTTTCGACAGTTTCGGAGTCATTCTTGAGCCCAAAGTGCCCTGCAAATGTTTCCTATGACTTTCAGGCCCGGCTCTGCGAATTGCAGTGCACGTTTGCACGTCCGCTCGGTTCAGTTTCTCTCCGTATCCGGGGCAACAGGTCAAGGAACCCCCGGACCAGCCACCTTCTGGTCTCGAGACGTTTTAGGGCTCCGCGCTCACGGGCTTGCAGGGTATTGAAAAGTGGGCTTGTTTTCGTGAAGCGAGTGAAAAACAGTAATCCCACCGACAGTGTAAAATGAAAACGAGACCACCCCCTACTCCTTACGCCGAGGTCGGTTCTGGAGTGTGATAATTATCAGTCATCAATAATCATGATAATCAATAATCAATAATCATAATGAACGGCTTTATTTTCAGGAGTGGAGTGATTCCACAGACCCCAGTGTGAATTTAATATGAAAGCATCGATGTGCTATACAATTACCGGGTACTTAAGCGATTTAAAACCACATTCAAAGATCGTTATCAGCCAAGAGGCAGCGAGTCGCATTGTCCCTGTAGACTGACTGCGGGCAGCTTGCCCATCTAATCATTCATTTCCTACGGAGATTGCCCTCAGTGTTCTCAATAGGAAGTCAGAATTAGCCTTTATTTCTAAAACCATAACGTGACTGTTCGTAGATTTGAATGCAGATTTGGTGCGCGGTTTCCGTGGGGATACTGGATTGTGCAGTATGGGTTTTAATGATCGCAGAACATTAAACAGAAGGAGGGATGTGAACTATGTTGCTAAACTCCGTTTGAACTTAGATATTCGTTAACACGAATCGGCAATTAAAAACGTTTTGCGGCCTGCTTTTGTATTAGATGATCGTCTGAAAAGATGTATAACTATGTGAGACGTGGGAGAATTTTACGTAGATGTAAATGAGCTTCAGGTAGTTTTTTAAAAGCCTTTTTAACTACAACAACAACAACAACAACAACAACAACAACAACAACAAAATATCGCATGCATTGTCCCCAGGTTCCCTCGATCTTGTTTCCCTGAAACTCTACGAGTGCCAGTGAACGACCTTCGACTGGTAAAACTCCACAGCGGAAAATCTGGGCCAAAAGTCTCTCGCAGTTCCGCGCAGTACAACTTGTACAGGTTGTCGGGCAGGAAACTCGGCGTGTTTTCGTTCGCGGCTCTGCAACGCCACGGGTTGCGCACAGAGTTTTCAGTCCTGTCGGCATCACAAATTCCCAACAGACCACAGAAAGGAAAGGAAAGAGTGTCATCGCCCAGGAGGTGAAGTCAGTAAGTAGCATACGACCATTTTAATAAGATGAACGTTATTTAAAAGTGATATTTTTAAAGAAACCGTTGTCCACCGTAAATAATCTGTAAAATAAAAAGTTAATAATAATAATAAAATGCAGACTAAAGATTAGGTATTTTTTGCATTCTTAAGAGCAATCAATTACTTAAATTGCATTAACCCCTTACATATCAACATTCCTCTTACAATTGTAGTCTGCTTTTATGATGAACTTTTCTAGGCGGTGACAGAAACCTTATCCTAGCGCAGTAAACCATAGACATCGGATATCTTAAGGGTTAGGGGTAATTTACATACAGTATATATGTAAATATACTGCACATACTGTATATTAGTATTTTCACCACGTGTATTTGTGAAATTATCAAAGTGACCAGAAATATTATTCTTAAGAAAATAACGCTATTATTATTATACTGATGATAGTGATTATTATCTTATTACATCGTTAAAGATACTTTGAACAAACTACAG